TATTTTTCCAAATTTACTCAAAAAAAATCATAATATGCCGTTGAACACGTTTATAAAAATTTAAATGGGCTAATCTTGTGACGTTAAAAACGGGCCTAACTGGGCCTACTATATAAGCAAGTCTACAAAGATTTCATTAGAGAGAGAACAAAAATATTCCTTTATTCAAGCAAAAGATTCCAAGTGCCTCAATGCCCATTAATTATTATGGTTGTCGGGTAAAGGGAACAAATTGTCTTGGACTCATGAAAGGAATCAATTACAAAAAATTCAAAATTTGTTTTCACTCCCTCTCTTTCTCTCGAACACCATCGAAATTGATGCTGCTGTGAAACTGAAACCCTATTCTCCAAAATGTCGGAATATCGTGGACTCCGGCGAGCCCACATTCTCGCCAATCACATACTCCGATCACCTTCTCCGTCGTCGAATCTCTCCCTCACGCCGGAAGTATGTTTGCAGTATTCTCCGCCGGAGCTCAACGAGAGATATGGATTCGATGTCAAGGAGATGAGGAAATTACTCGACGGACACAACTTGGAGGACAGAGACTGGTTTTATGGGCTCATGATGCAGAGTAATCTGTTTAACCGGAAAGAGAGAGGAGGTAAGGGTTTCGTCTCGCCGGATTACAATCAGACCATGGAGCAACAGCGCCATATTAGCATGAAGCGGATCTTGTACTTGCTCGAGAATGGGGTCTTTCAAGGATGGTTGACGGAGACAGGTCCTGAGGCTGAGCTCAACAAGTTTGCTCTCTACGAAGTTTGCGGGATTTATGATTACTCTCTCTCTGCCAAACTCGGTGTTCATTTCTTGTTGTGGTAATGTTTCAAAATTACATCTTGATTTTGAGATAAGAGAGATGTTGTTCTAATCAAAATGATTAATTTGGGAAGTTCAGGGGTAATGCTGTTAAGTTCTTTGGGACAAAGCGTCACCATGAAAAGTGGCTGAAAGACACCGAAGATTATCTTGTCAAGGGCTGCTTTGCTATGACTGAGCTAGGCCATGGAACCAATGTAGGCATATTTCAGTGTTGTTTTTTACTTATCCAAACTAAATATGTATTGGTGATCTTTGATTTGATGACTTTCAGGTTCGGGGAATTGAAACAGTGACTACTTATGACGCAAGAACTGAAGAGTTTGTCATAAATACTCCTTGTGAATCTGCTCAGAAGTATTGGATCGGTGAGGCAGCTAACGTAAGTAGTCACTATGCTTAACTCCCCCCACATTCATCAGCCATATACTGACTTTTTGATATACTTTGGTTGTTCAGCATGCAAACCATGCGATTGTGATTTCACAGCTTAGTATAAACGGAACCAACCAGGGGGTTCATGTCTTTATTGCTCAAATCAGAGATCAAGATGGTAACATATGTCCTAACGTCCGCATAGCCGACTGTGGACACAAAATTGGTTTGAATGGTGTTGACAATGGCCGAATATGGTATTTGCACACAACTCAATGTTATGTAGCTTTATATTGTAGTAAGAATGTGTACTTCATGGAAGATTGTACTATGAATATAGGTTTGACAATCTTCGAATTCCAAGAGAGAATTTATTGAACTCAGTTGCTGATGTTTTATCTGATGGGAAGTATGTTAGCTCAATTAAAGATCCTGATCAGGTAAATGCTATACCTTGGAAGTTGGAACAAATTTTTAGGAGAAACTTTATAATGTTTGCGGCAATGTATTCAATTTATTTCAGAGATTTGGAGCATTCTTGGCCCCTTTGACCTCAGGTCGTGTCACAATTGCTTCAAGTGCAATTTATTCTGCAAAGGTACAATTTTTCGGTATTTCTATATTCTTCTCCTTACACACATCTTTTGTCAGATATCAACTTGATTATCTCTGGACTAAATTTTTATTGTTTTTACTACGACAGCTCGGATTAGCTGTTGCTATAAGATACTCACTATCGAGAAGAGCCTTCTCGGTTGCAGCCAATGGTCCTGAAGTTCTCCTTCTTGATTATCCAAGCCATCAAAGACGACTTTTACCGCTCCTAGCAAAGACGTAAGGATCTTTCTGACAATTATGTTTTCCCTCTCGGAAATATATGTGCTAAATCCTTACCATTAAAATAATACACTCAGCATGCTGTCTTATTTCTGTCAAAATTGAGGCTAAGGCTCAAATAGAACACCTAAGCTTACGGAGAGAAGTGAAAAGCATTTCATGGCTTTAATGTGGGGATTTTAGGATGGGTTATCATTTTTAACCTGAATCTTATGTACCCCTTAGATATGCTATGAGTCTTGCTGTAAATGACTTGAAGATGATTTATGTGAAGAGGACACCTGAGTCTAACAAAGCCATCCATGTCGTTTCAAGTGGGTTCAAAGCTGTTCTCACTTGGCACAATATGCGAACGCTTCAGGTGAGAAGCAATAGTTTTTAAGCATTTATGTGTCAGAAAACTTCTAATGAGCCTTACTGATGTAGTCTTTTTCTTGGTTCTTTCTAAGGAATGTCGTGAAGCTGTTGGTGGGCAAGGTTTGAAAACAGAAAACCGAGTTGGTCATCTAAAAGGCGAATATGATGTGCAGACTACATTTGAGGGTGACAATAATGTACTTATGCAGCTGGTAGGAAAAGGAACATAATCAATGCTGTAACTCTCTTTGTTTTGACAATAAAATTGACTTAAATCCGTTTTTATGGGGAACTTAGGTGAGCAAGGCACTTTTTGCTGAATATGTATCGTGTAAGAAGAGAAATAAACCTTTCAAAGGATTGGGATTGGAGCACATGAACAGTCCACGTCCTGTATTGCCGACTCAACTCACATCATCTACCCTCAGATGCAGCCAGTTCCAGGTCAGAATTACTTTCCCTCTCAATTGTTTATTTTAGTCTTTTTAGATGAACTTAACTTTTTCTTGAACATCTCTTTTATATTGTCCCTGCCAGAAAAATGTGTTTTGCTTAAGAGAGCGAGATCTTCTAGAACGGTTTACTTGTGAAATTGCAGAGCTTCAAGGGAGAGGAGAAAGCAGAGAGTTCTCCATCCTTTTGGTTAGCATCTCTTCTCACATAAGCTTTGTTTCCGTTTCCCGTATAGTAATGGTTTTTTGCTTGTCCTCTACATCTCCTCCAGAATCATCAACTTTCTGAAGACTTAAGTAAAGCTTTCACAGAAAAAGCAATACTGCAAACCGTTTTGGATGCTGAGGCCAAATTGCCTCCTGGCTCAGTTAAGGTAAATATGATTACTGCCAGTTAGTTGAGTGATGGTTGTTTTCTCTTCTTGTTTCCATATCAAGTGATTTCCTATCCAGGACAACACAATGCTATTGAAAACGATTGTATAAAACCTGCTGTCATCTTTCTTTACAGGGCTGATTTGTAGACTCTAAGAGTGAAAACTACAAGAGGAGCTAAACTAAACTAATAACAGCAAGTGTATTTTGATGACAGGAAGTGTTGGGTCTTGTAAGATCAATGTATGCATTGATCAGCTTGGAAGAAGATCCATCACTGCTAAGATATGGTCACCTCTCAAGGGATAATGTTGGAGATGTGAGGAGAGAAGTATGTAAGCTCTGTGGGGAGCTTAGACCTCACGCGCTTGCACTTGTGGCTTCATTCGGGATTCCAGATGCGTTCTTGAGTCCAATTGCATTCAACTGGGTCAAAGCTAACGCTTGGTCTTCACTTTAGTTACTAGTAATAATCTCTTCCATAAATTTTTGTAAGATACAAAATTTTGTGATGAATCTCGACTTTTGATAGTTCACGACAATGGATAAATGATCCTTCCTTGATGTGATTCGTTTTACAAGCTAAAACAAGCCTTGTTGTTGCTTTCATAATTAATCACTGGGATCCGAAAATATGGACTACAATGAGGGGTATTTCGGTCTTATTCATACGGCTAACAAACTTTTCTTTTCTTATAGCTGATTTTGAACTGTTGCATAAATAAATATATCAGTATCACACACACCACTGCTAAACAAACATCTGAGAGTAGAGAGTAAAAATGAAAATGACGTTTGGAGGAGAGAAGAAGATGACTGTGGAAGAATACGTTGATTTCTTCACCTCTGGGAATTCCCGCAACCTCACCATCTCTTACCTCAATCAGGTTTTCTCTATCGATCCTCATTTCTCTCATACTATCCCGATTCTCCTCCTCAGTTTCTCTCTAATCTTCGACTCGTGATTTCTCTGCAGATCCTTCACATGCATGGTTTCCGAAAGCTTCACAAATTGCAGAAGGTAACAACCACCACCGATCATCATCATCTCTTCAAATTCCTTGTTTAATCTGTTCAAAATTTTGGTTGAATCGATTTTGAAAATCATCAAGAGTTTCTGGGAATTTATTCCGTTAATTTCGATTGGGCAGAAAATTGTTGGCGAAGCCGTGGATACACTGGATCTTCTAGATCTCTCTCGCTCAACTCTGAAAGAAGCCCCAGTCTCGTCGCCGTCATCGTCTCCCCTAACTCTCGACGAAGTGATAAGCGACATCGAAGCTCTCAAGTGGCAGGAATGCTGCTTAACCTCGCTCCAGATCATCAATTCCCAGGAAATTACTGGATCAGTGCCCAAACCCAAACAGAAGAAATCCAACAAGAGAAAGAAAGCTACTATGAAGAAATCGCTCAACGCTAATTTCGGAGATGAGAACGAAAACACAATGATGATGATGATGATCCCAGCTATACCGAGAAAGATGAGAAACAAAAAGACCAAGAAGAACCTCAAAAGCATCACCACATTAGTCAATGACGCTGCATCAGCAACGAAACCACTCTCTGACTGCAATTTCTCTTCAAGGTTTACTTCTATTCCTTAACATTTCCAAATTCAAACTCTGTGTTTTTTTATGTTCTTCCAAAATTAGCTTTCCTACAATGTACTCCGATCCTTTATTGATTGGGTTGGTGAATTTTAGATTCATTGCTTATGAATAGATTACTATGCATAATACAATCAAAAATTTCTTTAGGAGTAACACAATTCATGAACAAATTAAAACGTTGAAGCAACAAATACATAATTTTTTTGGCTTGTTAACTTATGATTACATACTCAAGTTTCATACATATATGAAAATAGTAAAGAATAATTAAGAAATCACATTATAGAACAAGCGTTAGGATTCTCGTCACTAAACTTAGAACCAGTTTGGTGGCTGAAGATAGAGGCATGAACAGGGTGGTGGCGGTAAGACGAATAGTCATTGCTGTCGTATCCATGCTTGTAATAGTTGTAAGATGAAGTCGGGACTGGTGCGGCGTGGTTGATTGGGCCGTTGCAGCCATGAGGGTTGTAGAAGTAGCCCCCGTTGCTGCTGCTTCCGCCCATGTGCTCAGGGTTATAAGGAAGCTGCCATAGCTCAGCTCGCCGGCCGGTTTTTCTCACTTTCTTCAGAACCTTCTTCTGATCGGCGTAGCCAGTCACCGTCACTTTCTGCTGCACCATGTCGATTTCTACCTCATCCACTCCTGTTTTCATTAATACAACAGAGATTAGAGATATAGTCAGATATGCTATATAATCTAGGTTTATGATTTACACAAAATGTATAAAGCAATATGCTAGAGATCAAAAAAAAAAAAAAATGCTAGAGATCAAAGATCTTTCACCTCTCATCTTTTGAAGGGCATTTTTAACTCTGCTTTCGCACCCCACACAATCCATGTGAACTCTCATCTCAATAGTCTGAAGATGGATCAGAGATTGTTAAATTCAAGTACAAGAATAGCTAAAAAAATATCCATGCAAGAAATATGAATTTGAAAGATTTGACATCTTTTAAACAAAACCAAAAAGAAAAAAATCTTTACCGTCATCTTGAACTTCTGCTGATGATTTTTGAATATAGTAGTCAGATCAAAAATTTGAAGTTTACGATGAATATTGATCAATGGATGGGATTGGCATGTGCGATATATATAGTGTTCCTTGCTCTTCAAGCTTACGAACCCCTTTTCTTGACTAAAATTATAAGCTTTCTACATGAAACCATTTAATAATTTGGGGACCATTTAAGAGATAAGAAATTATTTTTGCACCGACTTTTTTCATTTGTAAAGCGTGTAGAGATGAGTTAGGAAGAAGAGGTTGCTTGAGATGGGCATCCACAACGGAAACTTATTGTACTTTCAATGTTTTTCTTTATCACATTGCATGTAACTTCAAATTTCAATATAGTGAATTTATCACATTTGAAAGTTGACCCAAAGATGATTCAAAAATATATTTTTTTGATATCATTATGCTTAGATTGCAAAAGAAAATTAAGGTCTTTCGTGAGGTAATTTTATTTGTGCGGGGTGTTGATCGTTGAGTGGTTTTATTCAAACGTCATAAGTTTAATGTGAATTAAGTTTATTGGATCGTTGATGGTTGACCTTTATTGGTTGTAAATTTGTAGTTAAGGATGAGAGTGTAGAGTTGACTTATGGAATGAATTGAATGTAAACTTAGGAGCAAAGCATGGACGAATGATACTTCATACTTAGTGCTCAGCGAGCGAAACTGACGGATCTTGTCCATATAGCCGACCAATTATTGTTCATAATCAAATTAATTAGTGCTTCATCAAACCATTGTTATATCTTAAACCGGTTTAGAGGGGTTCAAGTTCTGGTTATATGTGTCTTTCAAATTCGAGTTCAGGACTGAGATGTGTGAGGTGTACACTGAAAAAATGCTTTGCTTGTACTCGTTAATTATAGTCGCTAAACTGTTTTATTGTCCCTTTGTTTACATAAGAAATTAGGCAACGGTTTTAGGTTTCGTACGAGGATGAAGATGCTGTCAAATCAAATCTTTGGTATAGATTTTGTTATCACAAGATTTAAGAGTGGTTTGGTGTGTATTACAGTGAGTGTGCAAGTGATAGAACTGGCCTTGCATTTTGGTGAAGCCCAAACCTATTGAGGCCTTCATGTATATATTCATGAAAGCCTTAAATCTATAAGCCTTTTTTCTTGCAAAAACAAAACAGTATCAAACAGTGATAAGGTTTGTTAATTCACTCTCCAAACAATTATCCCTTATTTAACCAAAAATCTACTTAACATTTTTGAAGTACAAATTTGCTCTTTCTAATCGGGTTGGATTTTAATTGATTTTGACCCGGAAATCTTTGATTCGGATCCTCCCATATTTGATGTTTTGACCCGAAATCTTTTGAATCGGATCATTCCTAATTTCCTAATATCTATATTAACTCCAAACGATATTTAGCTAACCAAAATCTTGCCTAAATCTAATTCGGTTAGAATATTTAAAGAATCTAAATTTAAATTAAGGAAAACATAGATATCGGAATTAAAAAGCATTGTATATATAGATAGTTTATTTTAAATGGGAAATCTTGATTTCAATATTTATAGTTATTACGAGTTTTAATTAAGGAAATAAATATGTGGTAATTTAATATTTAGCCCATATATAGTTAAATCTTTATAATATCGGAAATATTTTAAACTTTTGTAAAACAAATTATTTTAGTGAAAAATTTCATTTGTTTAATAGGAAAGATTTTATTAACTTCAAATCTTCTCCATATCATGAAAATAATAGTTAACGAAGTTTTATGATTTTATGATCACAACAAAACTAAAGAATATTCTAAAGTTTGTTTAGTTGGAGAAAAGAAACTACCAATTATTTAGGGATTTTGAATATATTCCATTTGCTTGATCTTCAAGATATTTTATGATTACAATATTTTACTTAACCTATTCATTGTACTATATAAATACCTCTTCAATCTTAGTTCCTAAACACTACAAATATGCATTCACTTAACCTACTTGCTTCACGTTCTTAACCTGCGTCTACAAATGTATTGTCGGCTATATTATAGAGCTTACTAAGAAGAAAGTGAACTCATCTACGTCTACAGTTTTGCTTTAATTTTAATTTTTTTCCAGTTTTATATCGTTTATCGGCTTTATGTTTTGTTTTCTCTAACATAAGTTTTATAATTTTGGTGGTGTTTTACTATTTAAAATTTCTGTATGATTAATGAATAAAATATTCATAATCTTTAGGAGGTTCGGAATTTTTTTTTTTATGACTCCAGTTCTATATCAGTGTTTTTACTTTGAAGACTATAACTACAAAAATAATAACAAAATGATGTTTAAATTCACAGGACGGGTTCTATGGTGGGACGGATTTGGATCGTTATTAATACGAGACGGTATACTACGGGTAAAATCCTAGAATTAACAATCAAAATACAATTATACAATCTTAAACACTAAACAAAACAAACTATATTACCAAAAAAATACAACTTAAATTTACATTTTTTGTTAAAAAAAATTAACCCGCGGTGTACCGCGGGTCATATCCTAGTAAATTTATAAATAATTATCCCTTATATTTGCTTGGCAGTCACGCTACCTATCTAAGCGAGAAACCAAAAACAGAGCAAACCCTAGAATTTTAAAGAGCACAATAAGAAACATTGCAAGAATAAAAAAGAATAGCAGATGATAGAACCCTAACTTAAGAAAGTTATTGTTGCCTTCTTGCAGAAGAAACCCAGTCTCCGTTAACCCATTCGAGGTGCCTTCTCAGAGAGTAAAGCGGGTACTGTAGCTCCTCCCCGGTCGTCAAAAAGTAAACAGAGTACATGTTGCCTCTCGCAGCGGTGACCTCTCCGACCCACCACCCGTCTTTGTCTAAAGCATCGACCTTGTCTTGGCAGCGAAACATTACGGGGAGAGATTTGGGAGGCATCGGACGGAGTTCGTCGGCTGAGATGACTTCGATTAACGGTTTAGATTGATCCTTCTCCGACACAAGATTCTTGTACTTAACCTTGTAGTAAGATCCCTCCGGAGTCTTTGACAGTACCGTGGCACCGAAGTAAGACCCCAAGAAGCCGTCTTCTTTGCTGCAGACTTCAACTTGATCTCCTTTCACGAACTCCATTGTTAAGGATTTAAGTATGATCAAACGTTATCTTGATTTGATATTTTTGTGAAGGGGCGCAGAGAAGGGGATTGGTGTATTTATAAAAGATTTGTTTCCCTTTTTTCCGCGTTTTACTTCTTTTTAACTCTTTCCTTTTTTTGTTCGGACTATTGTTTTTTTTTTTTTTGAGTTTTTTCCTTTTTCTTTTTTTAATTTAATGGGAACTAGATCATATGATTGTCAAAAAAGTGGATCATATGATTAGATTAGCCAATGAGGAAGCTTATTAAATATTAGTCGTCTGATTTTACATTTTCGGGATATACTTTACACGATATTCAGTTTTCAACTAAGTATTGAGCCAGGGGGAATTGTATTATGTACGTAGTAACGAAAAATCTATTTTAATTTATTTTCCCCTGCTAATTTAATTATTATTATTATTGCATTTGTCACACTATCTTCGATCGGACAAAAATATCTTGTTCTCACGGGTCTCATAAATTAGTTTGTATTTGCATTTGAGATTTTCCTATTAGAAAAGTCTTAGTACTATATACTTTAACGTTGAGAAAAGCGAATGTTTAAAATTGAAGGGCCACCAGCAAATTTTTCGGTGATCCAAGGCAATGTATTATATGGTTTCGCATCAGACCACTAAGTTGGTGTTATTAACACCCTCTAATGCACCTACTAAATGTCTAAATGTCTGGTACTCTGGTCTGTCTACTCATCATACTACTGCTACAAATTTGTGCAGTTTTCTGGTAGCTAGCGGTCGACAAGGTACGGTGGTAGGCCGTTTTCATTAATTTATCTTACCAACTTAATTAAATTTAACATATATATATATATATATAGAACCTTCATTACATAATATCATAATACGTACGATATATATATGTTGCTAAGATGCTAACCACGTGAAAGAGGATGGAGGAGGACACCAACCTTAGAATGTCATCCACACAAGCTCTGGTGTCATCACACTAATATAAATACTTAGGCTTTTACTTTTACGACGTACATTCATACCGCTTGTTTTTATGGGGGGAAAAAAATATATTGCACAGATCAATATAATCTGAGAGATATATATAAGCTTCAAATTTTAGTGTATATATAATTTGAAAATTTTAGTTGTCAAATTAGTTACATACAAAGCGACCAAAGATTTGCACCAAAAAATAATAATAACAAAGCGACTAAAGATTACAAAACAAAAAAGAAATATAGAGATACATACAATATATATTGATTGGACTTTATATTTTTCTAAGTGTACATTTATTTTCTTAATATATATATATATATATATATATATATATTAATGAAAATATCTGTATTAACGGATATTCATTTAATTTTGGAGTTGATAAATACCGAAATAAAGTTGAACTGGACAAAACATAGCATATTATATATAACCACGGATATTATATATAATATGCTCTGTTTTATATTAAAACCACGGATATTCGTTTTGTGTCTAGTACCCCTATATATACTACACTAAGTACTCATCTACTAACATATATACATTGACGGAGAAAAAACTATATGTTAGTTTAAGTGTTTAACCATAAATGAACAAAAATGAACTTAAAATAGCTTTAGAAAAAGAGAGGAAAATGTCGATCTACTTTCCACTTGGTATAGTTTAGTATTAATGCAGTGGTCATTTATGCCAACCTGAGAAATGTCCATTGTCCAGAACAAATTACTGCGTCTCTCTTTCTTTTTTTTTGTCACATTTTACGAATCCTATTATAAAGAAGAGCTGTTCTATGTAGAGATATTGCTAAACAAAGCACAAACAGAAAACAAAGACAGGTACCGAGGTACGTACACAGATAAATAATGTCAACTGTCAAACCCAGACAATGCATTGAATTTCACAGATATATAATTGGGCTGATTATTAATAATAATTAATGTATGACAAAGACAAATTTGTACGACGTTAGACGAATCACAAAGACGATCGATCTCCATGAAATGAAGAAAAAGACATTTAAGCCATTAAAAACATACATTTATAATGGAAAGTAACCATAATCTCGAAGCCGATCAAGAAACTGAAAAACAACAACTATATAGTGTATCATTAAGTAGTGCATAAATAGCTTCTTAATTAATATCTCATACAGAATGTTTTTATTTAGATCTCAAAATAAATATTAACGAACGATCGCCATCTTTTGTTTCTGGAAGTCCGAGGGTAATTTCACATCAGTGGCTAATCCAAGAACTTCAAATAGTCGAATGAGGTACCAAGTTATGTCTATCTGCCACCACTCCAATCCTTGCCTCG